TGGCGTATGCCTCCAAAAGTATCTCATATCGTAGGGTTTCATCAACAGCTGTCTAAGCTCGATACTAAAGATCTCATGATCGACAGGAAGGATACGAAACAAAAAACTTCGGCTGCGAATCAGTCATCAACTTAGTATTCAACAAAAAAGCGTACACCAGATCTTCTGATGTAGCCTAAATGAGAAGCGATGATGTGGGCTTCCGAAAGTGACATGGAAAAGATCACGTGACGAGTAAATGAAAGCTAGTAGGCAGTTGCGCAGACATATGTTTCGTTCACTTAGAGAGCAGGGAATGAAGAAAAATAATTGTGAAAGTGAGAATTTCCAAACGAATTACAACCTAAGGGATATGTCGCATTCAAAATTAATAGACATCAACGTTTAATTTTATTCAGAATATCCTCATTTTAAGATATTTCATTTTTTTAGTGTAACCAAGCTGAAGAATTGCTTTACCATTCGGAAACATTTCGGCTGAAACAAACGCAATTATGGTGTTAATCAATAAGCTAATTTTATATGCATTTTGATGCCTAAATTAGCATGACGAATATTAGAGTTGAAATAAGTAAATAAATCTCCTTATAATGAATAATCGTCACTGTCATACATAATTCTTCAATTCACAGATAACATTATAAAACTTGACTAACAGGTTTCAGTATTCGAGAAGTATTTGAGAGGTATACATGTCGTCACATTGAAAGATTACTTATAAGGAAGAGCTATTCGAAATTTCTGTAAGTACAGTCAGAATATCTCTTTGTTTCGTTTATAATGTAAAAAAAAAACAACAACTAGATCTTGGTAATGGGACGAAAGAGTATCATTCATGGACCAACACTTCCTATGATCTGTTAAGAAGTGTTTCATAGTCGGGGAGAATAATCACATGTAAAAACGAAATGCCTTGAAAGATACACACATACATACAGTAGGACTTATCGCTCACTGCCCTTAGCTTTTTAGCCTTAAAAAAAATGAGCAGTGAAGGTGAAATCGAAGAGAAGAGAGAACAACTGAGGGTATACACATCATGCAGAAGAATATGCAAATCATATGCAAACAGTAAACAAATCAAACAGTGCAAAGGAGCTAGACGACAAGAAACAAAATGAAGTGGGGAAAAACGTAAGTAACTTACTAGGTGGTAAGAAGCACAGTTTACTTCAGAAATTTAAAGATTTTGTTGTTACGATTATCGTTGATGGTAATAAAAAAAAATATGAAGCTAAGCACAAATAATTAAAAAAAAATGGACACTGTGAAAATCAGTCCATCGACAAGACATGGTCTTCTATTATAATATTCTAGCTTAATCCTCGTATCCCCCTCCACGGTTCCCCTTCTGTATAGCTTACGATAAATACATTTGTAACGAATGCTTGCACATACGATTCCCATTCTGGTAACAGCAGTTTTATCTACCCCTACCTGTAGTGTATACATTCACTCCTTTTGAATGTTAACTCTGCAAACTACCCACTGAACAGATCACACTGAAATGTTGATCACTTGAAAAGTATCACTAATCTTCATACTAACATATATAATTTAATTTACGAAAATACGGGATAAAAGAGATAGTGTTATATATATATATATATATATATATATATATATATAAATTTCAAATGACAACAACAAATTAAGCTTATTTTTCACCAACAGTATGAATGCAATGATTAAATTATATAGAATTAATCAAATCCTAGCTTTGTACATATGAATGTGTGCGCAAACAAGTTCCATAGTCCTGTCCTACCCCAGCGAGTAGTAATTAGTTCTGACGGCTTCATTTGTCAGTAGAAATATAATTTATTAAGTGCTCATATACATAACACTAGCTCTTCTCAGATGGATTATTTTCTTTTTCCAAAAACGTTATAAATCTTATTACTTATTTCTGTTTATAGCAAAATAAACTTATCATAATTGCATAAGCAAAGAAAAGAAGAAGAAAGAGAAGAGAGATGTACGCAATACAACGCGAGAGAGAGAGAGAGAGAGATAAGCGGAATGTGTGAGCTGGAGATATCCCACTTTTATTCAAATTCTTATATGTGCTGAACTTTGACGGTCTAAATTACATAAAATCTTTCTAGAGTCAAGTGATAAATCCATGATTGGATGACTCGATCAATAATAGACATTTCTGGAACATATCATTACTTTTGGTCATTCAGCGTCAGTAGAAACTTCCCTTCAAAGTCACACATAAAGTACAACCAAGCTGTTCGAAAGGATTACGCTTAGGTCTTTTTCATGCATCTGAAGCTTTAGCAGTCCATAAGAGAAAAACCTAAATATGGTGTTCAGAAAAGTTTTATGCAGATTTTCTTCTACTGTGGATTTAGTGCCAACTTTATTTTCCTGACCTATTGTATAATAAACTCTATGCAATCACTTTGTGGCGGGTGTTACTCATAAGATTTATCAGTAGTATTTAAAGAGACGTTCATCGGTATAAAAACATCAAGGAGATACATCTGATGTCAGAGAAGGAAAACGGTACAATGTTGTGGAGATATATGGGAGACGTGGAAGGAGCGCAAAGAAACACAATATGAAGGCCAGAAGTACCACAACATGAAGATCTGTGCAAATGTAGAGTTGAAGATAAGATGTACATGAGGAGCTAGGTACACAAGTCATTCTATGAGGCTCTTATCAAAACGTGTTAGAGAACACCATCCAGCATGGCTGCAAAGAGGAGGCACTATCAAAAGCGCAATAACTGAACATCTCGTCAATACCTGTCACAGATTGTCAACTGACTCATCATTTAGATTCATTTACGAAGTAAGCAAAAATCTACCAAAGGCAGTGTGTTTCCGACTTCTTTATACTGCGGAAGCTCTCGCCATACGCATAGAAAAGCCGGAGCTATGTGTTCAAAAAAAAACTAGTCCAGCCTTTACAACTACCATGGATCTAGTTCGGTATGTTCCCTTATCCTTCAGTTTTTTTTTGTTTTGTTATCTGTGTGTGTAATTTTTTCTTTTTGCCTTCATTCAATTCATCCTATTTTTTCAGTTGTAAAATCAGTTATTTTAAGTTTGTTTCCATGCTCCTCCTGATCACACTTGTAATCCGTTTAGAATAACCATTTTATAATTATATTCTAATCCCGTGTAATTTTTTGTTTCTATGCCTCTTGTAGTCTATATTCACACCTCCTAACTTACATTTCAAGTTGAAAATTTTGATTTCAATTTGTTTCCATGCTCATTTTGTTCACACCTGTAATTCGTCCTATCACTGTGTCTCTAAGCCTCTTGTAATTCTTATCAAGTCGAAAATAGTTATCACCTTTTATTCTCCTTTAAAATTATTTCTCCAGTCACCAAATATTAATTTTGCATACGTTGTAAATGTTTTCTAATCCTATGAAATCTTGTCTCTAAGCCCCTTGTAATCTATATTCGTACCTTCAAACTTTCATATCAAGTTGAAAATTATTATCACCTTCGTTACTATGTGAAATTAAACAAATAATAATTGTATCTATGTTAACTAATCTATATAAATGCGATTGTACAGCTTTTGAGAATGAAATCACTGAAAAGATCGCCATCTTTCCTGAACTTCTTGTTCTTTTCAGTTTAATGTTCCAATGGGTATTTTACATGATATTCGGATATCTGTCAATTGATAGAGATAACATATGTTCAGAAATGTCAAAAGAGCATTCTCTGTGAACTGGACTGAGATCTCAGCAAAAACTACTATGGTTAGGAATTATACGATTATGTTGGGTATCTTAAAGGCATAGGAAGCATGTATCAGATAAATGATTAAAAAAACAGGTGGACGAATGTTTATCAGATGTACAAGTAATTTTACTAAACAGAAAATGTATATTGATATGAAAAAAAAAAAATAGAAATTCCATTAACAACGCAGGCAGGGCATCACGTGAACATGAACAAGACAGAGGTGATGAAGATAACTAACCAACAACGATAACCATCAATCATCACGAATTAGAGAAATTGCATGGAGGATTTAATCATGAGCTGACATCAGTTAGAGAACGATTGGAAAACCTGTGAGTACTGGACAGCTGTTTCGTCCTAGTTTGAAACTCTTCAGCAGTACGCACCCCACCGCCAGGGTCCGAACCCAGGACCTTCTGGTTACAAGGCGAGCTCGTAGACCATTGAACCACTGGGATCCGATCCAATGGTCCTTGAATTCTAACTTCTGCCAGTTCACGACATAGCGCGACCACTTCGCAATGTCTTCTTCGATGAGTTACTGCCTCATCTTCAACCTGCTGTACCCTACTGGTCACGGCTTCCCACTAGAACCCCAGGTTAACTGCCTGAATAGGGCCAGTCACTAGTGAGCATCAGATTAATTTTCAAGTATTGGTTTTGTAGGGATTTTGTTTGATTGCATGGAGGATTTGATCATGAGCTGACATCAGTTAGAGAACCACTGGAAAACCTGGGAGTACTGGACAGCTGTTTCGTCCTAGTTTGGGACTCTTCATCAGTACGCACCCACCGGGATTCGAACCCAGGACCTTCTGGTTACAAGGCGAGCTCCTCCATGCAATCAAACAAAATTCCTACAAAACCAATACTTGAAAATTAAAGAAATCTAAATGAAATCACTACTTTCAACGATGTTTCACGGAAAGTATATCCAACACGTTACTGAAGACCTTCAACAACAGTTGTCTTTGCTTGGTCGAGAATGAAGATCAGACGGTCAGCTGGAAAGGAACTCTGTAGTGATACGAGACAATCAAGAACTTATCGCCCAGCAAATTTGCGGAATGAAATGGAAATGGATTGAATATATGCTGAGGAGGCCATTAAGTGACATCGTGTGTCAGGCTGTCCGGTGTAACCCGAAAGGGAAACAAGGAGGGAAGGGTCAGAAGGACACATGGAGGGGAAAAAATTTTGTGGGTAGATAAAGGCCTATGCAGAGAACACAGTGAAATGAAGACAATAATAATAACAATAATGACAACTAGAACTCACTTTGAACTCCAGTGGAATTTTAGCTAAAAAGCCGACAATCCTTTCATCTAGATAGGGTAAACGAGCCATGCGTCCATGAGCAGATATTAAACTATCGCCAACAAAGCAAGGGAAAAAAGAACAAGAGATATGAAGAGGAATTCACTCTGATAATACGTAAATTTACGAATATGAGGACAGCTATTGAAATTGAGGTTGTTTTACATAGCGCCTGATAATTTTTATCGCAACTGTATAAGACGATATAAAAGCCAAACCTGTGTATTCAAAAGTAATTTGTACAACGTCTTTCTTCGCTATGGCCAACCATATAATATGTATGAAGTTTTTAAAAACGATTTTTGCTCTCCTGCATTGCAACTATCTTAATTATGTTTACAATTCTAGCTAGTTCTATTACCTTGTTTGTATTTTACTTAATTCTAGTGAGTTATCATGTTCTTCTTAGTCATCATTATTCTACAAATTTCTTGTTGCTAACGCCTAGGAATTAACTTATCCTGAATTCCGTAATTAAGTTGCTTCAATCTTATGTTTTTTTTTTGAATTCACATACCAAAGTAAGGAGACTTCATTGAAGGAATGTATTAAGAACAACTGACTCATTGTTGCATAAGTAAGGAGAGACTGGACGAGCAAATAAATACAGACCTTCACGATTGGTTCTTCGTTTTTAATTCTACACGAATATAAGAGTTTAACAATTAATATCGATTGTCAGTCTTTCTACGGTAGGTTTTGTGATAATCACCATAGATTTTTCGGAAAAAGACCAAAATATCTAAAGCACAGATTCCACAAATACAAAGTTCTTTATTGTACACCTCAAAACAAACAGCAGGTAGAAAGTAATGTATCAGATAATCTAACAAACAGACCACCCAGAGAAAGCTACTGTCAATGTATTTTATAAACCCAAACTTTATATATATATATATATATATATATATATACGTAGGTTATCAACAGTGGTATTAAGTGAGAGGAAAACTAACAATTCTGAAATTGTCTCATAAACTAATTTTCAACCGTTGGTTGTATTCACATATCACCATGAGAATCATGTCATATGACCCAACTTTCACATGGAGAAGAAGAGTTATAGTGAACGTGGAAGGTACAATACAAATCGCACTCACAATATCATACTTCAAAACATCGATTACATGTAGGTGAGTAATTAATCCCTGTTTGAAATCAATAGTGGACTAGGAATTATGGGTTAGGAAGGAACAGATTACATTTGAATCGACTTCGATCACTTACACACCTACTCAAAAAGTAAGTTTCATGTAAACTCACACATAAACAGTTAGTGTGACAACAGAAGACAAGGGCTGGCAACAGATCGTTTTATTACGGAAATCAACACTTATTTATATAAATTTCACATACATTATTATAGCCTAGTCAAGTAGACAACGCAGTCTTCTGATTGGTTGTTTTCGAGTTCCTCGGAAATTGGAGCCATCTATCTGCGAATCATATCTGCCCACGTTTAAGTTTGCTGTGATTGGTTGTTGAAGCAGCCTTTTTCATTTTTTCTCACGGCCCATATTAGTAACCTAGACATTGACGTAGATTAATGTCAACCAATTGGTTAGCAGGCTGCTCTCACCACATTAGTACCACTCACTGACTTCAATTTTAGGCTCACACTCCATCATCCCTGGTTTATGCTAATAAGAAATGATTCTTATCATCTGGGGATTTTCTGTTAATCTTAGTGTAGTCTAGCCTGTATTCCCCATTGGTGTCACTTAGGAGACGCCTATGTGATATCAAGTTAATATATCGGCTTCTGAGGAGTGGACATTAATTAAGTATACCACATAACACTTGTCAAAGATATTTAAGTGTTGGTTTGTGGGGATTTGATTGGTTACAGGATTTCATCATGAGCTGACATTGGTTAGAGAGCCTTTGGAAAACCTGGGAATACTGGACAGCTGAACCCTGGCGGGTGGGTACTGACGAAGAGTCCGAAACTAGGACGAAACAGCTGTCCAGTACTTCTAGGTTTTCCAATGGTTCTCTAACCAATGTCAGCTCATGATGAAATCCTGTAACTTGTCGAAGAGTTCTTGTAATATTAGCATAGAAAAGTAATCATATCTCAATGCAACACTTCGGGATAGAATAATTACTTTTTTTTCAGTCAACTTTTATCTAGTTATTTAAAATAACAGTATACTACCTATAAACACTACGCACAAGACCGTCTGATGGTGATTTTAACCCCCGAAAATTGGCACCCTGTAGTGTAACCATCAGAGTTGTATATTTTTTTTTAGTTGGTAGTCAATGTGAGTGGAATCCATTAAGTACCTTTCATTCTATTTAGAACTCACTACTTGGATTGGCTTAGATCCCAGCAATAGAATGGTATTGTATTGAAACTAAGAGGTATTTTTAATTCTTTTAAGTGCTTGAGAATTATGAACTAAGCTGCTATGGTACAACAAGCATCTCCTAACCGACAGATATTATTATTATTATTTAGTGATCTGTTTGATTTTAAAGTTGAGCATTTAATGTAATATGAAAGTATCCATTTAGACAATACAGTTAAATAGACAAAGCGAAATTATAGTTGTAATTATCATTCAAACTAGAAAGAGCATTCAGAATAATATCAGGTGGTGTACACAATAAGTACAATGGATAGAATACCATTTTATTACTTCTGATTTTCATCACAAGTTTTTGTGTTTATCAGATGTATGTCACTGATGGCAGGAAATATGACATATACAAGCAAAAAATATATTACACATGAGACAAAGTTAGGTGCTAAAGTGTTTACATTTTCGTGAACTGAAAACAGCAATACTCTTATCACTGGTAAACTTGTAAAGGTGAACTGTAATCGTCTTTGACATTTTAAGTGAATCAATCAATGTATTGTTAGATTATAGGGTGAACTTTTAATCTTTTAGTTGTGATAACTAAGACATACATAAACTTTTGGTCATACTTTCCAGTGTGATTTTATACTTTACACTAAATAGAAGAATAACATGTAAACATTTTCTTCATATTACTATTTGTTCTCTGAGTTTCGAGGAGAACACAGAGCTTCATAGGGAAAATCTCCATTCCAGTCGATTTACCACCATCAACGGCGGCCCCCGTAAGCATTCATTTCTCCATCACATGATTTTCTCCACATCACGCTAGGACTCTCAAAATGTCAGTGATTATCTGAAAGTACATGTTGTTCTTCCCACTTTCAAACATATAGTATATTAAAGTTTTTACTACTAGGTTTATAGATTTATTTTATTTTTTAATTATTTCGGTCAACTTTGATGACTGTTCATTCTTCCTGTGAAAGGGAGGAATATAAATGTATATAAAAAAGCAACACAACGCGAGGTCTCTATCAATGACTGTGGTAAAAAGTACTACGCAGTCAGTTTACTGCAGTAGGATGAATCCAAGTGCACATTAATTCGGTAGAAAAGAAAAAAGAATAATGAATACGCGGACGCTTCTTTCAACGTGAACACTAATCAATATACAACAGGTCAACAGGACCAAATGAAACTGTAAGATAGTTTGCCTTTGTCAGTGACTATATTATGATTTCAAACAAATGTAACTTCGTCTAAGTACACCATTGTTAGGTTACGATGGAAACTACACATCCTTTCATTTAACATTTGAAGAAAAAATCGTAAAATCCTGTTTTTACATATGCTTGATTCGCAGTATTAAGTCTGGTGTCCAGCCATGCATGCACAGTAGTATATATATATATATATATATATATATATATATATATATAATTCATAGTAGGTATCTAAGTGCTTGACTCGTGAAATGTAACAGAGACCAAAAGCTTCCTGTCGGCTGTCATCAACCTTGGAGATGTAATGCTTCATTTCAAAAGCAAGAATTGTAGTATACCCAGAGTATGACGTAAAGTAGGATTCAGTAATCAAGGGAAGAGGAATGCAGACATAACTTAGAAATAGTCACAAGAAAAAAAGAAAATTTAAGGAAATGCGAATAATAATAATAATAATTAAAACCGCATTTCCAGTACGTTTCGAATGAATTCAATGATTATTTCTTCAATCATTTAACACAAATGAATTAAAGTCCCTTATTTGCACAGTAGAGTGATCAACCAGAAAGTCTACAAAACACAGGACTAATATGCATTAGGACAAGTGTAACTTTTATTTGACAAATATAAAACAGTATCTGAATGTACGTGTTGTACTCCAAGCAAAAATAACATTTTCGTGAAGTTTAGTCAAGTAGTTTGAATGCCTAAACCATTATAATAGCACGGGAGTTCATAGAATTATCTCTGCTTTGCATAAGTTCATTTGTTGCACCCAATGAATTAAAAAGTGAGTAAATGGAGTATTTTGAAAGATGAAGAAGCACTCACTAAAATATTCCCAGTAATAATAATAATAATAATTAAAATACCGACCCCCAATGACAAAAATGAATAGTTAAAACAATAAGAAGTGAGGAGTATAAGTGTCAGAAGGAAACTAAGGCAGCTCAGTGATTAAACTAGGCCGCAATGGTGAGACTTATTTCTGATTACTATGCTACATTTACCTACTTTCATAAAAACTCTTTTTTTCTGTAGAATTGCATGCCAAGAGGATGTGGAAATTATTACAATTATTTAACTTTCGAACACTGAATCTGTGGATATAATCTTATTGACAGATAATACCTATAACTAACTGTTTGGATTTTGTGAATTTTTAACATACACTCATATCTGTACCTGTATACATTGTTGAATTTATATGTTCAAGTTGGCCCAAGTCAGTGAGTCAATGGTTTTGGTATCATTTTAGTTAACTGTGCTTAACTGTATTGTATATCGTTGTATTGTATTGTTGTTGTCGCTTGTTGCCCTTTTTACTGTGAATTATTTTTTTTCGCTGGTGTTGTTCTGATTGTTTTATTCCTTATTCCTTGTTTTCCAATTTAAAGGGAGCAACCCAAAAGGTCGCTTCTCTCTAAAGTTTATCTTAATGTAACAATTCCTTTCTGAGGCGTGAGGCTGGCAACCCCACCCTGTAAACAAAGTTGCTACAGAAACTTCATTACGAT